GCAACACTTTGGTTCACAGGCCAGCACTCAATCCACTGAGCCACAGCAGCCAGGCCCCTCCTGTGGCTTTTAATAATGACACAATGTAGACTTTTCTCTTAAAAATGTTTAGAAACCCAAACAAAAGAGAAACGAGTATTGGTTGTTTCCCACAAAGGGCCCCAAAGATAATAACTTACTGAAAAATGAGCCTTGGTTGCCTAGAGGCTATCTACGGAGTATGGAAGCTGAGTTCAGCAATCTGCATTTCTCAGCCTCTGTCCAGTGGCGGGTAACAGAGAGACATTGCTGTCATGGACTCATAGAGAAAAATGAATTCTCTTAGAAAGTTTGAGGACAAATTAGAATATCAGAAAGGGGAGAGGCAGACTAAGAAAGGCTCTCAGTGCTGGAATTCATTTTCAAGTAAGGGTTATTAGAACGTGCAGATCTAGTTCTGGTTCTCATGACATTACTCACGCTGAGCTGCCTGAAGCTTTCTTTGCATCTTAGTTGCATTTACTGCCCTGGAAATTTGATGTAATGGAATGTAAAATCATTAGCTTTGTTAAGCTTTGTTCTCATCTGTCCCGAATAATACTTCGATATTGCAAGAACAGGACTCATCTTCCTCCTCTCCACTTCCATAAGAATCGCTCCCAAAGTCTCTCCCTTATTTCTAAGTTCATAGCATCTGGGCTCCTGGCCAACTAGTTCTGTAGGTCTTTCCGTAGCTTTGTATATTGATTGTTTCTGTATATTTATTCGCCTCAGATGGAAGTTGTTTGGGGGCCATAACTAGCATTTCTCCTATGTATACAAAATTATCTGGATTTTCTCCTAATCCCCATCCTTTTGAATTTAATACTTGTGTTGATGTTTTAAACATCTCTTCCATGACTTGGGAGTTCAGATATATTCTTTTGGATGGGGACTAGGTCTTCAAAAGACTAGTAAATAAATACTGTATCTTTCACAATGAATCCTTTGGTGAGACGAACAGAGCATCTTGCGTTCTAAGATGCCCGTTTCTCGCCATGTTTAAATCAGAATGCATCAGCCAGTCAGTGGTTCATGTCAGGTGCCTAACTCCCTCCCCTAAAAGTTCTTTTTATAAAAAAGATAGTACCTCAGAATTAAGGAAGTTTACTTAATGGATATCATGGATGAGGAGCGATGCCAAGTACTTTACAAGGATTAATTTATTTAATTCTCAGGACAGCTTCATGAGGTGGGTAGCCATATTATTTAAAACATTTTTTTATCTTTCAAATACAGTTGATGTTCAATATTATTTCACATTAGTTTCAGGTGTACAGGGTGGCAGTATTATTTCATTGTATGAGAAGGGACATTGAGGCTCATGGAGGGTGTGTAATTTGCCTGGTTAGTGGTAGAGTTAGGGTTGGAAGTGAGCTGTTTATTCTTACTGATATTTTGTGGCTTTGAGTTTGATTGCCTGGAGGGTTGGGAGGAAGCCCCTGGCCCCCAGGTCTGTACAGAGCCAATGCAGATGCAGTGTCCTTGGATGCCCAGAGCCAGGCTTTAGAGGCAACACCCTTAGCAGGCCAGTCCCCTTCACCCCACAGTGTAGAATCTGTGTGTGATGTATGTTTTCTTTTTCCAAAACTGGGATGGAGTTTGGAACAGCAAATATTTAATCAGAGCAAATTCCCTTTGCTAAATCCTGCCAGCTTGTTCAACTCGAGGTCCTTTGCCTAAAAATACTAACTACTTACTGAAAGCCATTGATAAATGACTAAGTCACCCGCAGAGCATAAAGCAGGCCTCAGTATTTGGAGCAGGGGGTTGTTTGCCTACTTTTATTTTGGGTGAAATATGCCATGCCACATACTCACCCTTTGATGAGTCTCAGGGCCTCTGGGAGTCAACAACGGGGAGGGCATTTGTCGGGGATGACTGGCTAGGAGCTCAGTCCTAACTGACATCAGCATCCTTCTTCAAATGGATTTTAGGAGAGAAGGGGGTTTGGGACAGGAGGTGGAGAAGGGCCTGAAGGCTAAAGACGGGCTGGAGTAGATGAAAGTGCTACAGGGATTGGGGTGTATGTGTGAGAAATTAGCTTTGCTGATGAGTAGAAAAGAGAAGGGAGGGAAGAAAAGATGTGAATATTATAGAGCAGTAAATTTCATATAAATAAAACAGTCTATTAAGTGAGGTGGAGTGAATATAGCTCTTAGAGATCGAAAGCAGCATTACCTCCTTGTTACCGGCACCACTCGTGGGTACAGCTCGGCGCCCCGCCCCCCCCCCCCCCCCCCACGCCCCAGTTAGAGGCTCTGAAACATTCACTTTGTGTGGGGTCCCGCATACTTTAATGTCTGAAGATTTTTAACTCTAAGAAATTTAGACTCCTTCAGAAAGTACTTGCTGACTCCTCTCAATACCTGCCTGGGGTCACTTCCCGTATCCGTGAGCTCAGTCCTAATTGCTGTTGTGAAGCAGTTTCCGGACCAGGCATCCTCACTGGGAAGATCCAGGATACCCCGAACTGTTTGTTAAAAACAAACTGCGGATCTATTCTTCCGGTTCCACTCTTTGCCCTCTGCTAACCCCCTTTCCCCTCCACCCCAAACAGCAACAAATTAAACCAGAAGAGAACCCTCCCCCAATCCCGGATGTCATTCTTGTCTATACAGTTCAACCCAATGTGACTTCTACCTACAGAATTTTTATTATCTCTGCCACTGGTTTACCTTCTTCATGCATTACCTGGACTGTTGAACCAGTTGCCTTCTAACTCACTCCCTGCCTCAGACCTGTTCTCTTTGGAATGTCCTGTACTTTGTAGCCAAAGGCATTCCAGCTTAAAAAACAAAAAATAAAAAGAAAGAAGAAAAAAAAGAAAAGAAAAAAATCAAACAACAAAGACATTCCAGCTTACGTAGTTGTTTCCTCTTGCCCATGAGACAGGCCAGAGTTCTTGGCGTGACATACGCCTGGCCCTTCCCAGGAAGACCCTGCCATCTTCTGAGCTTCATCTCTTGTGAAGGAATACATTTTTAGTGTAATATTTACACTAAATATTTATAGGTAATATTTAGCCTCAAGTATGCTCCAGATATTGTGTGAAATATGCTAAAAAATTAGTTTGTCTGGAATTTAAATTTAATTAGACACTATTTTATCTGGCAACTCTACATGTGTGTTACTTTGGTAGCCTAGTCAAAAGCACGGTAGTCTTTCTTTATGTATTTACGTCTTGCCCTGATCTAAAAAAAACCAAAAAAACCCCCTGCAGTTGCAGAATGTGCTGACTACAAAATAGTTGACATTTCTTTGTGAACTCTTTCATGTCTATGAAAATGGAGCTATGTTAATAGGGTCTTGGTAATAACAATGTATTTTTGCCTGAGGAAGTAATTTTGAAAAACATGTTTTGTTTAGAAAGACTGTTTGAGATTCACATGTAATAATGACTACAGACCTTTTCTGAGGAGAAGGAACCCACATTCAGGAAGATGAACTCCAATTAAGTTTAGTCTTCCTTTTGTTTATAGGAATCTTAATAGTCTCAGTTATTACTCTTGAATATCTGTTCTGGAGAAGATACTAAATTATCATGCTTCATTTTTATCTCTAGCTTTGTGTATTTCCCCCCCCTCTGTGTTATCTTTTTTCCTTTTGTGAATTATAGCTATGATGTGATTTTCAACTTTTTTTCTGTTCTGAAGAATGTGCACCTTTGATGTGGATAAGCAAGTTTTTAAATCACTGACTAAATCCTTATTTTCTATGTTCATAGAAATGTACTGCCTGTTCTCATTATGTAAAATTTTAATTATTCTGATAATATAAATAGGTTTTACATTGAAACATTCTAATTGGACTAGAATAAACCATTGTCAACATTTATCAGAAGATTAAGATGCATAAATAAATAACTCCAGTGGATCAAGAAGAAACTTAATAGCCAATTCACAAAGAAAAATATAGATAGCTATAAATTTAAGAAAAGAAGTAAATATTACTAGTAACGAAGAAGATAGACATTGAAACAAGATAGTGTTTTTTATCTTAAAATTGGGTGTTCAGGTTGGGAACATGAGCAGTCTCAGAAATTCTGGTGAGCTATAAATTGGTGCAGCCTGTGAAAGTGTAATTTGACTTTATCTCTTGAAATTTGAAAATGTAGATATTACTTGACTCAGTGATTCCATTTCTGGGTCTGGAGTCTATTCTACACAAATAATGGCACATGTGCAATGAGGCATGCACAACAGTGGTATTGCATCAGTGTTTGTAATAGCAAAAAATAAATACACAAAACAAAAAACCTTCCCAGGAAGATCAGTGTGGGAATGCTTATCAACCTTAATCTAGCCTTACTATAAAATATATAGTGGTTAAAAAGGGTGGGGTGGGATGGGGTTTTATGAATCAATAGGGAAACATCTCCACAGATTATTGTTAATTGGAGAAAAAAGTATTACAGAACAATATATATACTCTTTTACTTAATAAAGCTGTGTGTATACATGTGATGTATATGGTCCTATACAAGTGTATGTACATGTGTGTTGTATATAAGTATGGGGCTGTGTCTATATACATATATACATACACACACACATTGGTACATGTAAACTAATGAAAATATTCACCAAACAATTAACTGTCCTGAAGAGAGGTTAGTGGACATTTTGAGGTGGAAGTGAGGAAAGTCTCTCACTTTTTGTTCTGTACATTTGTGCGTTTCAAGAAAAATATATCCATGAATTTTAAGTGTAATTTAAAAAAATTCTGATGCTGGATTTCAGAATTCGTTTGGGCTAAGTAAAGGCTGAGTGATACATTCTGATTTACAAAAGATTCTTTACAAAAGATTCAGAGGAAGTTAAGGAAAAGCCTTTGGAAGAGGTCCTCTCTTCTCAGTGTTTGTCTCTCTGTGTGCATGGAGCATTTCCACATTGGACTTTGACTTATAGGCTGAAGGAGCACTTCACGACAGCCCCCTCTTTACCCAGTTTTGACAGATGATTTTTTTGCTTTTTCCTCAGATTCCTTTTTATGAAGATATTTGTAAAGGCATTAAAGCTGGCGACACCTGTGAGAAGCTGGTGGGGTATTCTGCGGTGTATAGAGTCTGTTTTGGAATGGCCTGTTTCTTCTTCATCTTCTGCCTCCTGACTTTGAATATCAACAACAGCAAAAGCTGCAGAGCTTATATTCACAACGGGTGAGTCTTCAGTCTCCGTTTCCCCTTGCCTTATATTCAGAACAGTAAGCTAGGATCATACCTAATCCCATCTAATCATCAGACCCTCTAACTGCTCTCCCTCTAGTTGAAACTGCTGACTCTAATTTTAGGGAAGGTGGGCCTTAATACTGGTCACACAGTGGCTGAAGAACTAGAAGAATCCTATTTGTAACCCTGGTACCATAATGAGAAATGCAGTGAAGACGAGAGTTAATTTCATGTACCAAGACCTTTCCCCAGGTCATTTCCAGTCCTGCAACAAAATGGTGTTTTGCACAATCAGAGGCTATGCTGAGTCTGTCTAATTATGGGAAAAGGCAGTCTCCAGTCACTTAATTACTTCCCCTCGATTTGAGGAGAACAGTACCAATGGCAGAATCATGGAGTGACATGCTTCCCTTCTAAGAGGTCTTTTGTCCTTCCTTGAATATCATTTAAATACATTTCCTTTTTTGTCTTCTTCTTCTTTCTAGCTTTTGGTTCTTCAAGTTGCTGCTGTTGGGGGCCATGTGCTCAGGAGCTTTCTTCATTCCAGACCAGGAGACCTTTCTGAATGGTACCTATGGGTTCCCATGTATTTTGTTTTTATTTATTTTGTTCGAAAAATTGTTCAGAAGTGTAGTCCAGAGTGCCTTTGATGTTTTGAATTACTGACTTTTTTGTGGCTTTAAAAAAAAAAAATCCCTGCCCTTCCCACACTTTATCCACTCTCCCTACTGTGCTTCCCCCTCTGTTCCCCTCCTCCTTACCCTTTCCCCGCTCCTTCCCTTCCTGGCCGGCTGTGGGAAGACCTTTAGTTACTCAATAGGCTGAAGAAGTGAAATAATTTTAAGGTTATTGGCCTGAAGGGAAAATGAAGCATTCAAAATTTGTTTGAAAATCAGTTTAGCATGTCAGCTTGACACTACCAGCCCCGTTTGAAGAGGCCCTGGAGACCTTGTTCTGAGTACGGCTCGGAACACAGGGCTTCTCAGCAGCTTTGAATCTGCTGCAGCTAAAATGGGACAAGAAAGGCATCCTCCAGTCTATTTCTACACTTACCCTACATGAAACTGCGTAACATTGAATTATGTTCCTTATTGATAGAACCTACCAGAATTAATTTAACATGAAGCCTTTCATGATAGCTGAAACCGGGGGCCCTTCTTCACATGAGCTAGGGAGGAAAAAAGGTCCAAATTTCAATGGTTCAAAACACTGTTCAACCCAAGTGAATTCACTTTCCTAAATAAGATAGTAAAAGTATTCACATTGTGTCAGTCCATAAGGAACAGCCATAGACCTTCAAATAGTCACGTATAAAGGTCCAGCTAGTTTTTCAAGATCACACTCATTTTATGTACTCCTTAAGGAAGTTATATCCAAGTCTTATTTTTACCTAAAATGCTATTAACTGGTTTTCTCTTCCTTGCAGACATACTTTTAGAATGTATTAGAATAAGTCCCCACAGACATACTTTTATGTATTAAAAGAAAATCTTTAGAAAGGGAAGGGACCTTGCAACCCCCTAGTCTAACTCAGTCATTTTAATAAACAAGCTGAAACCCAGAGATGTGACGTGGCTTGTCCAATGTTAGGGCTTCTTTGTGACTGAGCCAGAAGCAGAATCTGAGTCCTCAGCCCCCAAGTCTAAACCTCATTTCCTTACTATACACTGGTGGCTCCCTCTCCAATAAAATTAGAGCCCTTGATTTTTCTGGCAACATATATTTTTAAATTGTGGGCCATGTTGACTTTATGAATTAGTACGTCTGTTGGACTATCTGGCTACGCCCATTACTGGCTAAGGGACTGTGTCCACTTATGTAGACGCTCAGTTTTTGTCATCTCTGAAGTGGTTCTAATAGTAGTACAGTTGTGTGGGAAAGAAATGTGTTGCAGGTACAGTGAGCATGCAGTAAAAATGGACAGTAGTCATTACTCTCTTCGGAGCTAACACTTGGAACAACCATGTCATCTCCTTTTGGGTGGTCTTCTGCAGCCTGGCGCTATGTGGGAGCCGTCGGAGCCTTCCTCTTTATTGGCATCCAGCTCATCCTGCTCGTGGAGTTTGCACATAAATGGAACAAGAACTGGTATGTGCCTTTATGGAAAGCTTCCAAGTAAACTCACTCAATGACTCAGAGACACTGCCCCACAGTACAGTGTTGCTAAAGGCTCTAGCCTGCCAGCCGGGATCAGCAGCCTGCTTACAACAGCGGTTTTTGATGGTATTCTCCCTTCTCTCTTGCTCTTGGGACCTCTTCATTCATCTCTCCTCCGTACTCTTTTTTGAGTCTTTCTACCTTTCCTCTTCTCACTGCGTTTCTTTTTGCCTTCTGGCTTTTTTTCCCTGGACTCTCTCATTTGGTCTTTAAGTCAACTGATGGTGTGACTTGACCGGAGTCGTTCGAAGTGCCTTGAAAGTAGAATTCATATCACAGAATGAGTGGGAACTGCCAGACTCTTAATAGCTAGTCTTTATTCTTGCTGAGCTACATTGAGGGAATGACAGCCAGACAAGGGTCTAGCCCCTTGAGTCCTAAGGCCAAGTTGACTCTCTTTGTGATTCTAGACAAAGCACTTAGCTGCTGTCTTACTTTACCTATAAAATATGAATGAAAAGTATTGCCTTTTGTATCCAGTAAGGCTTTTGTTATTTCGTAGATTTTGTAAGCCTCAGGTTATTTTACATTGGGTTGTTCTTTTTTTGTTTTGTTTTGTTTGTTTTTTTGAGAGCTATTAGAAAATTTTATGTGACTGCGAATTTTTTTATTTTGAACAAAACAAAATATACTGTCCAAATTTTCTCAAAATACTCTCATTCTGATTATATTTCTCAGCTTGGTAGTAGTTGTTGCTGTTTTGCTTTGATATTGTTTTTCAAAGATCAAATCATGAGTGAAAAGATAGTGTTAAGTCATTTTATTATGTGATAAATAACTGGAGTAAGCACCCAAATGCTTATGGCCAATTTCTAAAATGTTTACAGCACATTGAATAACCATATAGGCAGTGCTACAGATATGTTTTGGTATTATTTCAAGTCATAAGCTCTACAGTAATGCAGGTTTCTGGGCCTGAGAAGTGCTCATATGCAGGCTCATGTGTGCCGTCCTGCCTTTTTGAGTCGTCCCTGGAACCTAGTTATTTATGTTGGGGGTCTCCACTCTATCTTAGCTTGAGGCAGCAAAGTTTTCCTAAAAATAGATTAAATGGGTGACTGTAGTTTTATGTGACCCTGTTTTCTCAGTTGTGCACGATAAATTGGAGATGCATTTTAATTTTAATTATACATCACTCTTTCTATTATAATTCTTACTGTGCTTTTACTCTGAATTTCTTATTAGACAAAGTAAATACATCGTCCTAAATTTTCCCTAAAATTTTCACAAATATACTTAAGATATTTCCTGGTAAAATATTAACATCTTTGATATTGAGTGTCTGATTTGTCCATTAAATTGTATGTTCTCTTGAGAATACTTGTGCTTCTTCACTCTGATTTTAATGTTTTGATTGATTCTGAAGCCATTTTCTGGGACTAATTATTGATGCCAACTTTCAACAGGCAGTTTGGAAGAGTTTGGTTGCTTTAAAAACTTTCCAGATACCACTCAACAAGAATGGCTTAAGGGCTTTGCAACAAATGATGTTACTATTGTCCTGACTTTGAGGCCAATACCCCAACAAAATCCCTTTTGTCAACATATTTATAGTTGGTTGGTTGGTTTGCCTAAAATTAGGATTAAGCTAGGAAGCTCACTAATATTGTTGTTATTATTTTTTTAAATCCTCACCTGAGAGTATGTTTACTGATTTTAGAGAGAGAGGAAAGGAGAGTGAGACAGAGAGAGAGAAACACTGATGTGAGAGAGAAATATCAATCAGTTGCCTCCCATACGTGCCCAGACCAGGGATTGAACCCACAATCCAGGCATGTGCCCTGACTAGGGATCGAACCCACAACCTTTTGGTGTACAGGGTGATGCTCCAACCAACTGAGCCAGCTGACCAGGACACTAATACTGTTGTTTTTAATGTAAATTCACCTAATTTAGAGTTTTTGCTCTGTTTTTAAACAGTCTCTTGCTTACAATTAGTCTAGAAAATATAATACTTATATCACTCTTCATGGAACAACCAAAGCACTTTTCCTTTCTTTTTTCCTTTTTGTAAAGATCTTGAGAAGGAGAAGAGCCCAAAGGCAGTGGGAAAGATAGATCAGGGGCCAGGAGGGTGCAGGTTTTAATGCCTCTCTCTAGCTTGCTCTTCACTTTGGGCACATCGCTTGGCCTCTCTGACCTCCATTTTCACACCTGTTAAATGCTGTGTTTGGACTAGGTGTTTAATGTGGTGGTGTTTTTTTTTTTTTAAACGTAGACTGAGGCATATTAAAAATTTTTAGAGTTTATTTGAGCAAAATTCAGTTTGAATTGGGCAGCATCCAATCTAGCACATAGAAAGGAGCTCCAAGGACTTGTACAAAATGAGACTTTAATAGGGAGCAGGGAGCGGGGAACAAGGAAGTTCAACTAGTGAAAAAGCAGGTTGGTTATTGTAAGGTTACTCTCCTTTAAGGGAGTGGTAGGGATCTGTCTACCAGGCGGGTTCGCTGATAGTGCTAATCAGACGATTCCTGATTACCTGGTTTAAGAACCTATTTCTGGGAGAGCTGAAACTGTAATTAGGTTGTCTTGGTTTGGTGTCTTAGCATGAAGCACTCCATTTGGAGCCTGTGGTCTTGTTTTTAATACTTTCTAGCTGAAATTTTGTGATTGGAAGGGTCAATTTTGTTTCAAAACTGAAAGAAAGAGTACATAGTATATTCAGGTATTTCTAATGAGCACCCCTTCTCTGGACTCTCAATTTATGTTGTTTTGGGGTGTTGCTTACTGATGCAACCAACCCTCACCCCAGCCTGGGCCCTGCTGGCTTCTCTGCCTGTGCACCCTGCTCTGTTGCCTGGTCCCTTTCTAATCTCCATTCAAGTGCTTCTCACCCAGGCATTTATTCGCAGTGGAGTATTACCATGTGGCAGGCATCAAGACTATAAAGATAAGTCATGGCACTTAACTTGGGATGTCTATAAAAACAAGATGTCGTCAGGAAGACTAGCTGAATCGGGAGCAGCAGGAATAGCAGTCACTCTGTTAACATTGCTGCATAAAGTTGTTAATTTAGCAGCTGAGAGTCCTCGCACTGGTATTCATGAAGTGCCTATTATTTGCCAGCCTGTCCACAGCAGAACAGCCAGGAACACCGCCTTGCCCTGCTCTGTGGAGCTACATTTCTTCCAGGAGGGTGGGGGAGGTAATCAACTTGATTGATAAAGCAAGAAAGTTAATAGGTTCAGTGGTGCTCTGAAAGGTGCTCTGGAGGAAATGCCCACAGGGTGTGGGAGCTGGAGAGTGCAGGGAAGGGACAGGCTTCCTGATAAGGTGTGAGGGAGATGAAGGAAGGGGGGAGAGCCGGAGGCAGGACTGCTGGCCCGCACTGTGCTTGCTTAAGGAGCAAAGGAGGGTTCAGTGTGGCCGGACCCCAGTGGTGAGGGCAGGGTGCAAGACGTGAAGTCAAGAGACAGCACTGGGCCAGATCACGTAAGGCTTCTGGGGCCATTGTATGAAATAGAAGGGCACTAGATGGATGATGTAGTGCAGCGGTCCCGAACTTTTTTGGCACCAGGGACCAGTTTCATGGAGTAGGGAGGGGGAGACAGGAGGCAGAGCTTAGGCAAGCTTCGCTGTCTCACCTGTTGTGGGAGGATGGTGGGAGGACAGGAGGCAGACCTGTGGCCCTGAGGTTGGGAACCCCTTGATCTAATGTATATTTTTAAGTTGGGAAAAGATGAGAGGGAGTTGGAGGTACAAGCAAGGAGGCCAGTGCGAGGTAACCCAGGTGAGAGGTGAGGTAGCTTAGAGCCGGATGTTAGCAGCAGCCAGGTTCAGATATATTCCAAAGTTGGAACTAGTAGATTTTGCTCATGGTGATGGCATGGCTGTAGGGGAGGGGAGAGAAGGACAATAATGAAGAGCCACTGCAGTTCTTTCCTTTGTTCCCCCAGCCCTTCCTCCCAGGGTTGGAATGGAATTGCCATTTTCTGAGGTTGGGAAGCTCAAAGAACATGTTTGGGGGATGGAGGTTTGAATGTTGGGAAGTTACCCTGAACTTGTTTAGTTGGACATGCTGATCAGACCTCCAAGTGAGAATGCGGAACAGTTGGATATTTTGAGTCTGGAGTTCAGAGGAGCTGTTAGGGCTGAAGATTTAACTTTGGGAGTATGAGCATAAATTAACTGTAAGAAAGTCCTTTACATACTGATAAGATTATCCGAAAGACCAGCGAAGAAATACTTGGACCCCACCCACACACTGGTCAGCAAAGTTTACCTTTTTCTACATAATTCATTTTGCATCATGAATTACTGTTTGGCTCTTAGGTTTGTTTCCCCTTTCTCCAGTCTCATTTTTCTCTTCATTTCCTTTGTGTGCCTTTTATGGTAGAAAAGTTCTCTGGTCATTGGAGTGCCTGGCTCCATTTCAAGAATATAATGGTCATTGTCATTTTGGCCTTTCCCTCCCTATTTTCTTTGTTTCTGGTTGCAGTAAGTTTTTCATCATTAAAATCATTTTAGCTGGGTGGCTTGAACACTTTCCACTTCTGTGAAAAATTACGCAAGATGCTTTCTTGAAGGTTTGTGAGAATGTGGTTACAAAGGGCAATGTAATCAGAAGGCAGATGACAGTGATTCAAGCCATTCTTCCTGTTGTTCTGTCCTCTTCATTTAGCATTTATAAGCACTCTATTCTTTGTTCTGAACAATTTCTATAGATTGTTAAACCACGACTTAGGCCTCCCATCCCATTATTAGTAGTTATATAAACTAGAAAGCACATTAATCTCCTCTTTTACATTCTTCACTGTAAATCCCCTTAAAATGTTTACTCTTTCCTTGGCTGATTTTATTCTCCGCTTTTATTTAATGTCATATTTTCCCTTCATCATACTTGGCATTGCTTTGGAGAAGCAGAACTGTTACAGATGCTCCCTTTCAGGGCTGGGATAAAAGAGCTAAGGCCAACCCGTCTTTCTCTGAGTGAAGTTAATTTGCTTCTCTCCCTAAAGACAAGAGGAGCTTCAGCAGGAGCTGCTGGCAGCACATGGAGTAGAAACTGTGGCACCTCCAGTCTCTGTGTGTATAGGGACAACTGGAAGTGAGCTCCAGCAAGGAGCTGCTTTTTATTACTGCCAAAACCTGTCCCCGGCTAATTCACATCCAGAGTGGGGAGGCTGCCCTCAAGTCTGCGGGTAGTCCCTATCGGGGATGGATACAGGCAAGTCAAAAACAGTTCTTTAGTATTTTCAAAAAATTCTAAGCTTGAACCTGTATAAGTTTTTTTCACATTTACCGGCACCTTCTGGCTTTGATGGAGCATAACCATTGGCAAAGGGATGTCTCCTGGACAACGCGGTTATGGTGGGCCTGGGGCTTGATGGCATTAGTTAAGGCCTCAGAGATGGTAAATGTCGGAATCCGTCATGACCGTTACTGACGTGTCTTCTCTCCCTTCCCTCTTCCCACCCCCTGGGACAACAGGACTGCAGGCACAGCTCACAACAAGCTGTGGTACGCCGCCCTGGCCCTGGTGACCCTCACCATGTACTCCGTCGCCGCCGGAGGCTTGATTTTGATGGCACTGTTTTATACACAGAGAGATGGTTGCATGGAAAACAAAATCCTTCTGGGCGTAAACGGAGGCCTGTGTCTGCTTATTTCAGTGGTAGCCATCTCACCCTGTGTCCAAAATCGTAAGCACAGTTGTTTTTTGTTGTTTTTGGGTTTTTTGTTGTTGTTGTTTTGCCTTATTTATAGTATAAGTGTCTTTAAGCAAACCTAGTTTTAAAAAATTAGGGTCATTTCTTAACTCACCAGGGATGAGTCAGCAATAGGAAAGGCGGGACTCCAGTCTCCGCTTCATATCCCACACTTGAGCTGAATGTGACGGTCAGGCATGTGTTGTGCCAAGAAAGATCTGAACGTGATGAGGTCAATAAAATAAGGGGGTAGATTTTGCCTTATTAAATAATGTATCACAAAGAGCCTTTAAATGGAAATGCCCTTAGTGTATATTGAGCTCTAACCTGTATTCTCTGTGTAAAACTTGAAGGGAAGGCTCTGGAAGGAGCCATTTCTGGGTTCATCTTTCACTCAAGGCTTCTGGACCAGAAATCAAGGACTGTGTAGTCTAGCAGTTAGGAAGCAGGAAATCTGATCTCCGCTCAGCCAGCAGCTGGCCCCATGAGCTACCTTCCCTGGCCCGAGTCTTCCTCAGCAAAGCCAACAGAAACCTGTGAGCCTGACCTTCCTTGTGGTTGTTTCAAAGCTGAAGAAAGAGATAGGGGATTTGAAAGTGCTTTAGAAAGTATAGGCATGAATCGTCTTTTCTAAGTGGCTTCTGATATCTTAAGCCAATATGCTCTCTTTGATTATAGAGAGAATTGTCCCTGGTTTCATGTTTCTTGTAGGTGTCTTACTCTACAGGTGGTTAAAAAAAGCACATGACATTCAGGTTTCTAGATAGGAAAAGGAAAATATGTCAAGTCAATTTATAATCCCTTGAATCCTTTCTAAAATGGCGATTTAAAAAAGAGCTGGTATTGAATCATTTAAAAGTTTTTCTGTACTAAAAATTTCAAGTCCATTATTGAGATATTGAGAGTATTATTCTTCCAACCTCTCTAATTGGTCAATTAAGAATTTCCTAAAACATTACTAGTATTCAGATTAAAACATCTTTGAAACAGTTATAGTATTTTGAAATGTTTGATGTTGTTAGTTGTTAAGGTAAATCTTATTCCTATACCAAAAGAGCAACATTATAAAAGGATCTATTTCTATACCGTTATTGGTCATTTTAATTTAATACATATAATTCTGGAAACAAATTTGGCCAGAGAAAAAAATGGGTGAAACTATATCCTTTCATGCCAGCAGGTAGTTGAAAATTTCACCAAGAAAATACAAATCACATTTATTATATCCTGGTTACTCTCAATGATCTAAACACTGAGTTTAATATAAATACTGCAACATTAAAGCCCGTCTTCCGGTGAATGCTGGGCCCCATCGTCTGCAACTTGGGTCTGGACCAGCTCTGGTGTTGCCAAAGGATTTTTTGCCCATTCAGTGATGGATGAGAGCTTTTTTTCCTCTGTCACAGACTGTAAGTGTATGCTGGCCTTGTACAATCAGGAGGCCATCCATGGTCTATCTATTGTTTACTCCACTAAGCCATGCGATCTCACAAATAATGAATGGTAAATGTTCTTCTGAGATCTTATGATTTAAAAACTAATGTTATGAACCTCAGGGGGACCAGGCAGTACGCGTTAAGTACAGCTGTAGTTCTTATCAAAATAAGGTGTTGGTAGAGAACTTGGCAGAACTTGGCATCTCTAAAAATAGCAGTTAGGCTAAGTATCTAACTCCCCTACCACCAAATCTTTTTAGTGTTATCTGAGAAACACATTATGTACCTCTTCTTTCCTTAAAAAGTAGGAGTCCAAGTTTGAGGAGTATTTTTGGGGGGATGGGGAGTCCTGTTTCTTTAAGCATGTGCTTTATTACTGTTGAAATTTAAAACACTGTCTTAAAATCTGCCTTTTGTCATTTTCCAGGACAGCCACACTCTGGGCTACTGCAGTCGGGTCTCATAAGCTGCTATGTCACGTATCTTACTTTCTCAGCTCTGTCCAGCAAACCTGAAGAAGTAGGTAAGCTGGCCTTGTTAGGGAACATGTGGTTGTGGTATGAATATCTTTGTTTGTGGAGGAAGGAGTCTGTCTCTGTGAGCTATTGTTTAGGGATCAGGGATCAGGGATGCAATAAATCAAGCTGAGCCTGTGTTTCTTCAGGAGTGCTGTGGAAGGCTGGATTGCAGGTGGAGGTGCTGGGAGTTGAACCCAGGGTCTCCTACATGCCAGGCACGTGCTCTTCCACTGAGCTACACCCCCTTGCTTGAAATAAATCAAGCTAGAGAAATGATTTAGACTTTCCATTAAATGAAGTCCTTAAGGTGGGATAGGAAAGTGAACATTCCTTCTCTCTGGCCTTCCTGCTATGTAGGAAAGACATGATCAGAAGGGGACTGTTGGGTTTGCTTTTAGGCCTAATCTGCATTTTCCCACTCTGTTTTCAAGGAGCATTTTTATTTTGCTTTGTTTTTTGGAGTTGAGTATTAACTTACTTTTCTTCAGGTGGTCATTTCTCTGGCCGAAGCAGAGAGAGTGGAAAAAACATGGGAGTGGGAAACAAGAAGAGATTTGAGCCCAGCTGCACCCTTTGCTGGCTATATGACTTTGAAATGCTCATCTTAAATAACCTTTACTGAGAGAGACAACACAACCTGCATGAGCTTTAGACTTGGACTGCATGAGCAGCCTGGGTTTGCCACTTAAATAACTTGCACAAAGCTAGTTACCTTTCTCTGCCTAGGCACTTTGACTTTAAAATCAGAATTTTAATTTGTAATTGAACAAGATAATTAAATAAGATTATTATTTTATAAGGTGGCTTTTAAGAATTCAGTTCCTCGCGCATAGTAGGTGCTATATAAGGATGAGCTATTATTATTGTAGAATGGTTGCAATGATTATTTGAGAACTATAAAAGCACTATATTATATTATAAGGTGTTCTATGAACCCCTGAGCATTGCCAGTAAAAGACCAGATTTTCTTATTTTAATTTCCAAACTTGTTATAATTTATTATCTAGATTACTTTGTGCTATATAAAAATGTATATAAATGCATATATGTTTGAGTACATTTGATCTCGTATAAATCAAGTTAAATAAATAAACTCTTTTTGTAAGAATAAGAAATTGAAGCTTTATGTATTAATCTCTGGTTTTAACTTAATGGGGTTTTGGTTAACAGTAATTTTTAATGGCAGGCATCACTTAAAAACAAAAAACACTTTTATATTTAATTTTAGGTGGTACTACTTAAATAGCAAAGTTCATATTTGGTTGGTTTTTTAAAAAACATTTTTCATTGGCCTAAGAATAAAGACTCCATTAACCACCGCACACAGTTATGTTTACTGTTTCAAGTGCGAGTACCAATAATAATTTTAGTCCAACTTCAAACACTTGGAATGCGCATTTTTGTAAAATGGTTTCTTATCCTTGTGTCCCTTATTTTTGGGCAGAGTTGACAATCACACTTAGCTTCAGTGTTCAAAATTGAAAACTCTGTGTTAGACAAAAAATAAACTACTCTGGGCCCTGACTGGTAGCTCAGTTGGTTAGAGCATCATCTCGGTACGCCAAGGTTGCAGGTTCGATCTCTGGTCAGGACACATACAGGAAGCAGCCAATGAATGCATGATTAAGACAAACACAAATCAGTGTTTCTCTCTCTCTCTCAAATCAATAAATTAAACCAGGACAATGATAACATCAAAACTATCACCAGTTATAACACTACAGAGGCTACTTTGTTATGTAGCCTCTCAAAATATTTTAAAAATCCAGCCACCTCAGGAGGTTCCCAGGTTACAGCCCAGAAGATGTCACGGCCATGCTATTACCAGCAGTAAAATGACTTCTCACCTGGCTGGCGGCTGTGGGCAGGTGGCTGTTCTATTGCTGGTACATGGTTGGGGGCTGAGTACTCTCCAGGGAGGATGGACGGAGAGGGAGCTCTCCAGTACCTGCGCACTATCTTTGTTCAGAGGCTACCAAAGCAGCTGAAAAACGAATATAAGCTTACTCTTGACTATTTGAATAGTACTGAAAAACAGCAAGACTCATAAGGTCCTGAACTAGAATTTTGAGGGTCTTGTTCTCAGAGGGTGCTGAGGTGGGGGAGGGGTGTTTTGAAATAAAAACAGGCTAGTCTAGGACTATATCCAGTAGGACTACAGTGTAGGAGTATAAGGCGGAAGTTCTCAGGGATAAGTCTTTGCTCTTCGAAGCTACCTGAATTTTCCCAGAATAAATGAGTCTGAGTTAGAACAGGTTTTTCTAATTTAACTGTGGTTACTTTGTTTTTTAGTTCTGGATAAACATGGGAAGAACATTACGATCTGTGCGCCTGACTTTGGTCAGGACCTGTACAGAGACGAAAACTTGGTTACTGGACTGGGTACCACTCTTTTGTTTGGGTGCATCTTATATTCATGGTAAGTTTTAGGAGGCCCCAGGCCATCTTTGCAGACTTTAAATGTGCAGGAGAAGAATTTAAATAAGTTCTAGCAGCTGCGAGGCTGCAAAACAAATACCTTTTGATGAAGAAGGAAAACAGAAGTAACAGGTGTTTGGATTTCATTTGCCTTGTATTTCTATGAGGCAAATAAGTATATGGTGTGTTGCAACCCTTTAAAATGCTATTACTTGCTAAAGCATTATTGGAGGGCAAGGGAACACAAAGTGAGGAAGAGGTGGTTTGTGCCAGAATGTTTGGGAAACTTTCTAATCCAAGAGATATAATATTCGTTCCTCTGTTGATGCAAAATACAGAGCACTACATACACAGTCATTTCATTCTGTTCCTGGTCCAGGGAGGACAGGAAATGCCCCTTTTGTTTTTATGCTAAAACCCCCAAAGCTGTTAAGGAGGCCAGTCAGTCTCCAAAAGTAGGTGTGACTTAGAAGCAGGTTGCCTTTGAAATGCTTATGGTGGGGTTTATTCCACCTTTTAAATGTTTCAAAGATTGCCAGAGAGATAAAAGTAAAGGGTAGAAATGGTTCATTTCTTATTTTGGGTAGATATTTCACTGATAATTAAGTATCCCTTTGACGGTAACCTTTTCATGTTTAGGTTTTACTTTTGTGTTTTCTGTTTTATTTGTTATGTTTCAGTGTATAAAAATTTCAACTTGTCCTAAGCCCATTATCTATCATCTTCCTCTGGCTGAAATGAAATAATGCTGATCGTGATACCTTGTATAGATAAAATGTCTTTCTGAGCAAGTTGTCATTTTCTCTTATAGCTTCTAAGGACCCCTAATGCTAGAAGGGGACCAGGTACTTGTTCAGAATCACACATCTACCCAAAAAACACTCATTTGTGTTGTTACAATGCTTGCTTGTGGTTGTTACGGTGAAGGATGTATGACATTGATGCTCACTCTGTTTTTGACATAGTGGCAGATTCTCCTTGTTGCACCAGAAGGGGCCATGGTGTTAGTACACAAAGACCCAGGGAAAAGCTCCAAGACTGGAAATCTACCTCCATAAATAGAGGGTAGGGCAAGACTAAAGAAAGAGGCTGGCCCCTCCAGGCTGGGACTTAGTAGAGTTTATTAAGGGAAACTTACATGCAAGGCATGTGTTGGGTGGCTATAAGACAAAATGGATCTCTGTGCTCCTTGGCAGGTGCTAAAGAACTGTATCGGGTGAAGGGGAGGGGATAGTGTGCGAATGCTACCAGGTACGGAAATGATTTTACATGCTTGACCAGGTCAGGAGAACCACCTGTTCCAGGAACCAGCGCATAGCAGGAGGCAAGGGAGTGCTGCTGATTTATGTCAGAATGAAGAGTAACTATAGTCAGACCATCTCTAAGCAGGGTTTGCACAAAGCAAACTCTGTTCTGGCCCGGGTCCAGCTTGCAGAACAGACAGTGGCCACGTCATGGAACAGCTTCTCCTCCACACATGGTGACCACTTTCTGGCCTTTGATTTTTATTGATTCCATAATTGCTCGCTGAGTACCTACTCTATAAAAAGAAATAGATAGGATTCAGGCCCAACTCCATGAATGTTTTCAGGGGAAACATAAAGGCACCCAAGTTTTGAATACTGAGTCTCAGCTCTTCCTTTTTTTGAGCAAGCGTTTTCTTCCCAAGTCTGTTATTGTGGGGCTTTAGGAAAATATGGCAGCAACATGGCTAATTTCATTTCTCACTCATTTTTTTTCTGAATTGGCATACAAAAAATATTAGTAAGTCAAGTGAGGATGAAGTAGATTACTAAACTATAAATATAGAGTATTCCATTTTAAAGAATAAAATATAGTTGTGTTTACATATATAGAAAAAATCTTGGAAGGAAATAAACCTAACTTGGTGGTGATGTATTATTTTTCTTGTTCTTCAGCTTTCTTTAAAAAATACATATTTTTACAGTGAGCTAGAATTTATTATTATTATTATTATTGTTATTGTTATCAGAAAACTGCCATGGCTGGGTAGTTCAGCTGGTTAGGGCTTTGTCCCAATACACTAGGGTTCCCGGTTCAATATCTGGTCAGGGCACATACAAGAATCAAACAATGAGACCATAATTATGTAGAATAACAAAATTGATGTGGCTCTCTTTCTCTCCCTTCATCTCTCTCTCTCTGAAATCAATTTTTAAAAATAAAAAGGAAAGAAAAATTATAAAGATAATTTGAAAGAGAAAAATCATGTGTTTTTGTGTGTTGCTAGATGCCTAAAAAGAATGTTTGCCCCTCAAATAAAACAGGTTTTGGATTTGCTTTAAACCTACCAATGGAAAGTTGGCAAAAATTCTACTTAGTGTGCTGAGAGAATTGCCGCAAATGGTGTTATTTTGCAGCACAGAATTTTTACCCTATCAGGTTTCCACTGCCACCCTTGTGTGAGAGATGATAAATAAAACGTCTCTTCTCCCAGGCCTTAGAGGCACCGTAGTTGAGGTTGCTATGGTCTAGGATGATAGTCACCAAAAGATAACAATTCAAAGCTGACAGCTGCTACTTAAAATCTGTATAAATGCCAGTAGTAAACGTTACGGAATGCTAGTAATTAAACTGCAAAACCACAGTGTCCAACGGAGGAGGAAGTGGGAAACAGCAGCCACCCACCAAGTGGGGAAGCCGAGTAACCTGGTGGTGCTGGGTGTTTGTGTAGCACGCTGTGTGTGAAGCACCACGCCGCCGGGGCGGGGGCCGCGTGATTGATGTTTGCTGTAATTATCCGCTGGCTGCAGCCCGGGGAGTCAGTGCATTGGGAAGTGAGTTCAGGCCAAGCAGGGCCTTGAAAAAAGGGAATTCTGCTAGGGGTGGGAGGTGGTCCAATCAGGAGGTTTTCAAATCTTGGCTTCTAGAGTTTGTTTTCCTCCCAGACGCAAGGAATCAAAGTTTGAAAGATGTTGCAAAAAGAGACTGGGTAGAAACTGTCATTTGAATACAATTGTGAGAATTTCTAGAATTCTTGATAGAAATTATAGGAAACCAAAAGACTGGGTGGTGTGTAATTAAAGGGAGAAGAAATCACCCATTTTCAGTGAAAGTCCAAGATTGCTGGGGTAGACTTTTCTGGAAGGTCATAGAAGGCTCACTGTGCTGTCTTCTCACCTATGCATCTATCGGACATGTCCCCCGCCCCAAGACACACACATTTCCCTCCCCCCAAACCCGTTTAAGGGAGCTTATGATGACCCCCATCCTCACTTTCTGTTCCAAGTCCTGCTTCTGACACATTCACCAGGAATATATTTTTACTTTTTTTGGTCTCAACTTGGAAGGAGGGCTCAGCCAAAACTCATTCTGACTGAGTGTTTTTGACTGAGCTTTTTGACTGAGGCTGCTCTTTCTCCAGAACCCTCTTCTGCTGCACCCCAACAGTATTGTGGTGAAGAAGTGTCACAACTTGGACCCCATGCAGGAGCCCCCAGTGGCTCATTCTGTAGGTCGGTCCCCCACACCTTCCTAGGCCTGGATCTTGCTCTGACAGGCCCTGGCTTCTCCCAACTATTAATTCCCTCCTTGGTCTCTGGATTTTGAAATTATTGTTCTGTGTGTTTCAAGGTCAAGCTGTCAGACTGGGCAAGGTCCTGGAGTCAGTCAAGCTCAATCCCCTCATTGTACATAAAAGGAGACTGAGCTTATTCCTGTAGCTCTCCACCGCCAGTTTTGGGACACCTTTCCTTGAGTCTCTTGCTGGGGTATTGAAGAGACAGGTCAATTTTTTCCCCTGCGTTGGCTTGGAATAATAGGTCTGTTCATTGAGGTAGGAAGGCAAGCTAGATGACTAGCGTAATTATATTATCATGAGGCACTTGTGCTATGGAACATACCCTGGCTACTTCAAGTTCCTAGACAGCTTACATAAAAATTAATTATATTTTCCCTTAAGCATAAGTAAAACTGGATATAAAATTATAAAAGTTAAGAATCTTATAAAATATCAAACTTGCTAATTCAAAATGGCACATTCACAGCACTGTGGTATACTATGTGAAAATAGGTACATACAAGGTTGGTAGGTTGACATTAGAGAAAGGTTGGTTTAAAAAGAAAAAAGTTGGTAAATCAAGGAGGGGTATCTATTCTGGTGGTGTGTTCTAGACCTGATACTCTAAGTTAAGGGAAAAAGTGGTGGGCGCGGGGGGCGGGGGGGTGTGGTTATTGTACCTTTATTTGGGGAATCCTGGCACTTTCTAACCTACAAGCTAGAAATTTTCATGTCGTGCATCAGGGGCATGTTGAAGCCTGCCCCCAGTTTCCATAGGACTCTGGTCTCCTTTGCGAGCTCTGAGTCACCAGTTATACGGTACAGCAGGAACGTAATTCAACTTCACACAAAGGCTGGGAAATAGCATGGGATCTCTCAAAGGCCTGCCCTGTAAGTTCGTTAGGGAAGCAGAATCTATGGTCTTCAATAGGAAAGTCTGGACATAGTTTTTAGAGATTATCTGTAATCTGGGGGTGTTCGACCAGTTCCAGAAGCAACTGAAGTAGGCGCAGAAGGCACCTGTGTTTGGAACCCCTCTGCCAATATGCAAGAGACAGTGGTTCCTGGGCAGGAGTACAGGAGGTGTCTTATCTTTTTGGTTGTCACACTGATTGTAAGCCACTGCTGGCTTTTTGTGTCCGGGGACTGGATATAGCAACATTGCTACAATGTATTGGACATTCTCTGTATGGTCAAGCATGGTGCCAGCAAATGTTGTTAGTCTCTTTCAAGCCCCACGGGAAGTCCTGATTAACATCTTACATACCTTAGGTCTCGGAGACAAAGAGGTTATGGATAGTCCAGGAATTACTGTACAACAACTTGTCTTGTGCTGGTGGTCAGTTATAGTCAGAATGCAGACAGTAAGAATTTACTGTGCTTTCTAGGAGCTTGTAAAAAACAATATTTTCTTGATAATTCCAAGAAGAGTGTTTTGCGGGGAAAGGCCATGACCGAAAGACCTTATTTAACAGTAACATCTGCTCATAGAGGTCACGTGTCACTAATGGACTGAACATAGGACCTTTTAGAAGTAAGGGTAAAAGTTTCCCTGTTTAGTACTCTCTGATGTTGGCAGTGAAGCTGTACAAGTGCCAGAATCGAAAGCTTTGTTTTTCTGAAAATATTTATTACGAGGAATTCATGAAATGAATTTTTATCCTACCCCCTGTAAAGCATGGATATCATCTTTTAGATGAAAATTTCAGATAATGATCTCTTTCTAAAATTGAAAGTTTTATTTTCCCCCCATGGAAAATCTATAGTGTATTACATCATAATTCATACGCACAAAATATAGCACACTCTTACAAGTATATACAGGTTGGGTTTCTCCTTTTCTTTTCTCTTTTCTTTTCATTTTTCTTTTGAGAGAGAGAGGGAGGCAGGGAGGGAGAAAGGGGGAGAAACATCAGTTGCCCCTCGCACACACCCCTACTGAGCACTGGACCTGTAACCCAGGCATGTACCCTGACGTGGAATCGAACTAGTGACCTTTTGCTTTGCAAGACAACACCCAACTAACTGAGCCACATCAGTCAGGGCAAAATATAGCACACTCTTAGATGCAGGAACAAGATGTATGTATTTTGTGGTTGTACAGCCATTGAAATGTTTCTTTCATTTCTCTGACCAAGCTCAGAGTCAGGAAGTGGGCATGGAGTGGGATTCGATTAGCATCCATCTGTTCAAAGCAGAAATTAAAGTGATGCTATTGGCCCTGGCTGGTGTGGCTCAGTGGATTGAGCGCCAGCCTATGATTCGAAAGGTCACTGGTTCATTTGCGAGTCAGGGCACATGCCTGGCTTGTGGGCCAGGTCTCTAGTTAGGAGCCTATGAGAGGCAACTGAACGATGTGTCTCTCTTATGTTTCTCCTTCTGTCTTCCTCATTTTCTTCCCCTCTCTCTAAAAGCAAACAAATAAAATCTTTAAAAAGAAAGCAAAACAAAAAATGATGCTACTGGACTTGAGTGGACCACAAAAGAAGCAATGTCCTTGGATCCCAGAGGACCTCTTTATGTCTAAGGCTTTTTATTGTTAATTTACATCTCATTGATCTCTCCTTGGGAGTTTGAGAATGAAAAGAGAAGGCAGTGTTGCCTCATATGGTTTATTTGGTTGAAAAGAGACTGTTAATTCCTGCATCCTGTGTCTCCACTAGCCAACGCCCCCCCCCCCCCCCCCCCCCCCCGCAACACACACACACCAGCCCCCATGCTAGCACAGAAGCTGTGTGAGGGCCAGGATGCCTTTTTCACTGAGTCCTCAGTGCTTAGAACAGGGCCTGACACCTGGCAGGCCTTCCATAAATATTAGCTAAACCAATTTATACAGTTAAATGGCACCCTTAAGTATTGCATATATTTCTATTTGCTTAAAATGTTCCCTCCTTTTTCCCAGGAAAAATAAATACCCTTTTTACCCCTGAAGATCAAATTTTGTAACATTTTACCTCTCAGTGAGAAAAGTGGCTGGAGGAATTTTTTTTTAAATCACACTGACAACTACCCTATATTAAATTTCTAAACAGAAAACTTTGTTCTGCTGTAGTCAGATTATAACAGTAACTGTGACCTATGCTTTTCATGGCCTTGCTTTTTATTGTCATCTCAGCATTCTTTCATTACTTTTGATCTCTTCTAAGTGAGACTAGTTAAAGGGAAGGGAACGATAAAAGTGAAATCAGAAAATTGTTTGGCATTTAAGGGAGGAGAGGCAAAAACCAAGAGGGAAAACCAAGATCGTGGGGCCAAAAGACATCTTATTTCTTTACAAGTTTCGCTTTGCACAAAGTGGTCTAATGCAATTCGTGTGGAATGACATCAGCCATAGAATCAGTCAGCCAGTTTGGAACTAAAGTGGTTATTAAAGTAGACTATGCTTTATCTAAGCAGCAGGAACTGGGGGTTTCCTAAGCCTCACCGGAGCACTGGCCAGGCGGCCCTGTCCTTCCTTTGATGTGATATAGCGCATTAATGTGCTCTGCTGACCTTTTGTTTGTTTCCTAGTTTGACTTCGACAACGAGATCAAGTTCTGATGCTCTGCAGGGGCGATATGCAGCCCCTGAACTGGAAGTAAGTTCATTTCCTTTTCTTGTCCTACTTTATCTCAGAAGACCTATTTTTCTAGGAAGGCTTTTTATGTTTATTTGCATCTTTATTGCTCTGCATTCCATGATCCCAAGAATACAGATTTTGTACCAAAAGAGAAATGTCCTATATAGGCTATTGAATTCAAATCATTGATTTTCCTCCAACAAAATGGGCCTCTGTGTGGCTTCCTGCTGCTCACCTCCCACCAGAGGCCTGGGGGACTTTGTTCTTTTCTTCTGCCATCAATGGAATATGTGTGTGTATGTGTGTAACTTCTAGTCCATTCCTCTGTTTTATACCTGTCTGTGCCCTCCATATGTAGCTCAATGGAGAGGTAATGTAATAGGACTTCTGAGGGAGGAGAGGACGCTGGAGGAGGGAAGGGACCAGCATCTGCTGTGTGCCTCACGGCAGAGTGCTGTCTGTACATTAGCTTATTTAAGTGCATCAGTTCCATCGGGTGGGCATTTTATCGGGTAAAGAATTGTGAACAGGTGTCCAAAGAATCATGGTGGTTGGCAGGTGCCAGTCACTCAGAGAGTGTCTTATTTTATTATTTGTGCAAAAGTCTTTCTGGGGCCCACAATTGGAATGTCCATCAAAGTCTAAAAAGGTCTAACCAGATGGAGGCAGCCAGGAGAAGGCTCCGCCCTGACCCCAACAACGGAAAGAATGGGAAGTTCCAGTGATGGCTAAGACCTGTGGCACTTGCGATGTTCCAGGCACTGCTCCAGGCACTACATACATCATTTCATGTAATCCTCATAAAAACCCAATGAGGGTTTTATCTCCATTTTGCAAAGTCGTTTAAACGGCTGACTTGCCCGCATGTAAACCATGCACTCTGCTCCGGAGCCTGTGTTCCTCACCTCTGCTACCCAGGAGCTTGGCCGCTGTCTCCTGGCCCGGCCGGGCTGGTGACCCTAGAGGCCTGGCGTCCTGCGCTGGCTCCGTCCTAATGGCTTTTCCTGGGTTTAAGAGCCCTGGTATATCTGATGGGCACTTTCTTCTGCAGCCGTGTCTCTGGGGATGGTCTTTCCCGCATCTAACCTGGAGAGAGTGAACCGTCGTGAAGGGTTGTCAGTCTGCCAGCATCATTCACCAGCTCTTTCTGTCACTTAAAAAAAAAAAAGAAAGAAAGAAAGAAAGAAAACTGTGCTGAGTCTGAATAAGTTACTGACTATTATACAGAAGAAAATGGCCTTTAGAAGGCAGGCGTTTGTTCTCACCGCTGACTGGGTGACCACCTGCTGGGGTGGTACCTTATGGTTTCAATATCCCTATTGTGCACAGAGTTAAATAGAGTGCAAAGAACAGCAAGTCTCTAAGTAAGATTTAAGAGAGGATGTTTTTCTTATCCCGAGGAAAAAGCTCCAGTGTTTCCTTCGGAAATGGAGAGCGTGCAGGATGGAAGTTAGTTTGCTCTTTTTGCATCACGTTTCACAGGATATGGCTTTGAAAGAGAGTTACCGGTAGTTTCCTGTGGTAACTTAAGCTTCAAAAGAACTAGGACCCCTGCACATCATGTCTTGGGTCCCCTGAAGAATTAGTGAGTCTTTCTGTCACTTCATCCAAGATTCTGTAAAGACCAATCCCTCTATCACAAGTTCCTTTTATGTGGAAAGGAAACAAGGATGTGGCCTTGGGGTGTATAAATAGGACAAAGGCTCAAATTCCCAAGTCCTTGTCCCTGGCTCACTGTTTTTTGTAGTAAAAATATTATCAGCCAGAAAATGCCAAGGACCCAGCCCTTTCCAGACTGTCTTCGTACATGTAATGTTTCTTATCCGTTTACTAGAGTCCTTCTGGAATCATGTAGTTATTTTTTATAACCTGATATTTGTTAAGTTATGTGTATTATTTTGAGCAGGTTAGATACATGGTACAAAACTTGAAAGATAGAAAAGACTCTTCAGGGGAAAGCATTCTACACATTCCTGTCCCCTGCACCCCTGTGCAGAGAGGCAGCCAGTGGAGCAGCCTGATTGTTACAGGAACTGTGGGGGGGGGGGGGGGGCCTCCTGCTCCACATACCTTAGCTTTATCCTTTCTGATGCTGTCGGCCCCACCATCTCCTGGATAACACCTGCTTCCTGCTGCCTCTTGTGAATCATGGACCTTAGCGTTCCCACCTTGCATTCCTGTCTGGGCTCCCTCATTAAGCCAGGAGCAGGACTTCAGGCCAATTATTGACCCTGCCTGACCTCCACTGTAAAGAGGACGATCAGGGGTCAGTGGCTGCTCCCTGGCAGGGTGACTCTGCCACTGGGCGAGGCCCATGAGCTGCCGCCTAGAGACTGCCGGCTCACAGCCGTCGTCGGACCTGCGTGCGCACCTCTGATGGGGGGCTGGTGGCTCACCTCCATGTCCATTGTATTTCCTGTGGCCAGCACCCAGAGCATCGGGGAAGAACAGATGCTTGGGTACAAGCTTCTGAAGGGGTTAAGTGTGCATTTCAGGGCTGGGGATACAATTCAGACAAGGAAGGCATGGCATGCAGTGGCCTTTAGTGCTTTACTGATGTGGAGCGAGAAAAGCAGAAAGCAAGCCATCTGACTATTGGTTTTGCTCTCCCAGGTAGCTCGGTGTTGCTTTTGCTTCAGTCCCTATGGAGAAGGTAAGTAGAGAACTTCCCCTGTGTATATGTGTGGTCCTCCACACCTGTAGCTCTAGTCTGTTGGCATTTTGGATTCAGGTACAAATAACTGAATGGTAAGGGGAAATTTTTATTTCAAAGCCAGTTTACTGTGTGTATACTTTTCACATTCTTCTCTAAGGGTTGCTGGGTTCCGCGTGTTTGTGTTGATATTCTGGCAGGCGAGAAATCAGTCTAATATTCTGGCTCGTGTTTAAGTGGTACAGTGAGATTTAGAGAAGCAGAAAATATATTTTTTAAAGGAATGAAAATTTGGAAAATACTGAGAGGTCCTGACACCTTGTTTGGACCATTTCTTTCCCTCAACTTTTCTTCTTGGATTGAAGGATCCCAGGAGCTTGAGAATTCCTGATGTGCTCTCTCTTACTTTCTTCTGCGCTTATAATGAGTTTTGTGTTTTTAAGGGCTCTCTTCTGCTTTATTAAAAAAAAGTGTGATGTTAGGTAACTAATTCTGTTCAGGAAGGTTCTTGAATGGGCAGGGGATTTCTGCTTAGGGCAGAGAGGAAAATTGTCTGAGGAGTACACGTGGCTTCTGACATCTTTTCTACTGAGCAGCCCATAAAATGAAATGAGTGTGTGGTTGCTAATCATTGAGCTTGTGCTGGCTTTATGGTTCACAGACACTGAAGAGCAGCGGAACATGAAAGAGGGACCAGGTGTCATTTATGATGAAAAGAAAAGCACCGTCTACAGCTATTCCTATTTCCACTGTGTGTTCTTTTTGGCTTCCCTCTATGTGATGATGACCGTCACCAACTGGTTCAAGTGAGTGTTCCATTTTCTTAGATGTTTCAGAAGGAACAGTCTCTAAAAAAAACAATATAAGACCTATTCCTTTTTTTTTTAAGATTTAATTTTATTTTTTTAGAGAGAGGAGAAGGGAGGGAAAAAGAGAAGAGAAACATTAATGTGTGGTTGCCTCTCACACGCCCCCTACTGGGGACCTAGCCTGCAACCCGGGCATGTACCCTGTCTGGGAATCAAACCAGTGACCCTTTGGTTCGCAGGGCAATGCTTAATCCACTGAGCCACACGGCCAGGACTAAATCCTATTCTTCAATGTGATGAGACACAGATCAGATCTGGCGTCAGCTAAACTGTTTTCCAAGTCAAGCTGTACTCACCTTTACAGAAATAGGTCAAGTTCCTAACAGACTAGCAGCACGCCTTACCTCTGGAGCTTGCCACAGTTTACTGCAAGTGTTAAAAAAAAGAAGGTTAACTCCCTATGAGCAGTCTTAAAGAACATAGTATTAATAATAGTAATGGAGGAAGACTTGGAATTCTTAGTAATCATCTGCTTTTTAAAAATTTTATTAAATTTATCGAGGTGACATTGGTTAATAAGATTATATAGGTTTCAAGTGTACAATTCTATAATATATCATGTATATTAGATTGTGTGTTCACCACCCCATCTGCTTTTAAGAAAGAGAAAATATCCCTTTTCTACTTTATATCTTGTCTTTTTTTTCTGTACACTTTCATTACAAAAGTTTAAAGTACTTTAAAAAAAAGCTAATATGCAGGTATAAAAAGTAACAGTGACTTTCTGCATAACCACTGCTGACAATATGGTGCATATCCTTTTATTTTCTATGCATTTACAAGCCTATGTGATTTTTTTTAATATAAATATGGTTACACATATTCCTACACCACCTTGAGTTTTTTTATTTTTTGTTTTAACTTGGCAGTATATGATACATCTGACTTTCCCTGTCACAGCATAGAGATTCTTTTTGAAACGTGCAGATTCTATTTGGATTATTCTTTGAGTGATCCAAAGTTTCTGTTGGGTCATAGTTTATCATAAATTAGGATATACGTAGGGTAGACATTTAGGCTCATTGTGCCTTTATTCATTCATTCAACGAATATTTGGGTGGCTTCTACCTGCCACACTGTTCTAGGTGGCAGGCTTCCATTCTATTAGGACAGACCTGATCCCAATGAGATACAGTGTGTCAGATAGTGGTGCGTATTGGGGGGGGAAATGAAATGAGGAAGAGGAATGAGGAATACCCCGTGGGGCTGCGGATGGTGGGCGTGGCAGTTTCAAATAGAGGGACGGGGAGTTCTTCCCAACCGTTCTTTTGAGGGAGAAAATAAGGGAGGGAACTTCTGATGCTTCCCAGTGATACCTTGAGAATTCCTGGAAATTTTTGGCTTGAGAAGCTTGAGAAAAAAATGGAGGGAGCCATGCTTAATCAGGCAGACGTAAAATGGTGCAGCTGCTTTGGAAAACAGTTTGACAGTTCCTGAAAATGTTAAACACAGAGTTATGGTATGATCTGGCAATTCTACTCCTAAGTGTATACCCAAGTGAAGAAAGAGCACATTTGTGCTAACATGAAAACTTGTACACAACGTGCACAGCAGCATCGTTGACAATAGCCAAGCAGTGGAAACAACACAAACTGATGATGGATGAACAAATTGTGCTGTATCCAGACAACAGAATATTACTCAGCAATAAAAAGGAATAAAGTATTGACAAGTGCTACAGCATGGATAAACATTGAAAAAATTATGCTGAGTGAAAAGAGCCAGTCCCAAGAAGCCCCATGATTCCCTACAAAAATGAAAATGTCCCCAGTAGGCAACTCCATAAGGACCAAAAGTAGCTGAGTGAATGCTGGGGCCTGGGGAGAGGGGAGGAAATGGGAGGGAGGCAAAAGGGTGCAGGGTTTCTTTTGGGGGCAATGAGAATGTTCTAAAATGGATTGTGATGGTGGTTACACAAGTCTATGCACATAATAAAAACCATCAAATTGTACACTTTAAATGGGTGTGAATTATATATGAATTCAGTAGTTGGGCGAAAAAGGAAAGTCTGGAGGGAGCAGAAGCAGGGATACACTTGGTAGAAAGACCTTCTCCCCACCTGTATTCTAGCTCTGACCATGGGTGGCTCTCCTATTTCCACAGCTATGAAAGCGCCAACATTGAAACCTTCTTCAGCGGAAACTGGTCCATCTTCTGGGTCAAGATGGCCTCCTGCTGGATGTGTGTGCTCTTGTACCTGTGGACGCTGGTTGCACCCCTCTGCTGTCCTTCTCGTCAGTTCTACGTGTGAGGATCTGAGCAGCGCCCGTGGGTCGGCAGGCCTGTAGGCTGACAGTGGCATCCTTTGAACGAGTGTCCTAGGGGTCTGAGCAGTGGCTGGCGCTTTTCCAAAAGCTGGCCTCCCCTGGCTGGAGTGTGCTTGAAGAGGCTTTCCAAACAAAACAAAATCACCTGATTAGCTTTTTAATTCTAAAATTCAAAAAGAAACTACTGGATTACCCCCAGAAGAATGGACATTTTCAACTAGGCTGATCCTGAGTGGTAATATATTTTTGTATGTGTCTTGACCCTAAAAACTGGGATAGTAGTTAGGCTAGTATTTTTCTTCTGCATGTTTTTACCAAAACGGAGTTTGGAGTATGGCATTTTCTCACAGAGATAGACATTGACCTTGTGTGGCCTATCATTCTTATCCTTGGAATGGGAAACATACCCAAATCTTGAGCCCGCAGGCCCTCCCCACACTTCGGCCTGCATGGGCCTGCTCACAGCCCCCTGGCCAGTAGAGGGCACAAGAGGAAGCACCTGCTTTTAACGCCCTGTGTGCTGCTTCCTCCTGGCCCCCTTTGAATCTGTGATGCTGGGAATCACATCTGCCATTTTCCTTCTCTACCCCTTCCCATCCTTTCTGGGCTCAGCTTCTTCATTCTAATGTGAAAAAGCACAATTCACTACCACCACCTGTGTGATCTCCCACCGTCTTATCTACACCTGATCCAAGTTACTGCAATAATTATGCCCCGTATGTGTGGAGTTATTCATGTGATTATAGAACAATATTCATGTTGTTTTCTTTGTCTAAATGACGGAGAGCTGTAGTTCTTACTTGTTTGTATTCACAGTAATAATACTCCAGGAACTTACCTGGAAAGTTGCTTCCTGGCTGAAGCCCACTGCACCCTCTTTCCGTTGTCACGGTCTGCCTCCCAGTTGCTCTTCCACCTCGAGGCCTTCGGACTGGCAAAGGCGGAGAGCTTTTGATATCCAGATCTGTAATGGGACTGCACTGTTAATGCCCATTATGGTTTTTTGGAGTAGATTTGCTGAGGTGAGGAGGACAGGATCACAGGCAGCACCTCAAACAGGGCTGACAAGATAAGACCTTGTTATACAAGTTGTAAAAGTGACCAGATATACTTAGAAGGAAAGGTGGGTCGGGGGGGGGGGTATTTAATTAACTCATAAATAACATCCACATACTTATAAAGTAATGCTCATGAGGTGTTGGACTTTGGGCAGCTGCCTGAGAAGAGGTCCATTTTCAATGCTGATGTTCTCAGCCAGGAAAGCGTTGACTCAGTGGAAAGTCCAGTGGAGACACCGTGGGGACGCCCCTGTGAGTGTTTCATGTGGGATGGAAAGACTCCTCAGCCTCCCTGGCAGAGAGGGCCTGCGGCTGAGACTGCCCTGTGCCCTGCTGTACGTACCAGTTGGGCAGAATTGGGTTCCCCATAAGCTGGGCTCCCGTGTGCCAAAATGCTGGCTTTCGAAATTAGTCACATTCTTTGTTTCTACTTTTTTTGCCCTCTTCCTAAGAAAACAAGGAAGGAAAACAATGCAATTGCTGAATCCTCTAGGCACTTGCCTTAATGACAGTGTCTTGAGATTCAGTTTTTCAAAGCACTTGTGAAAAAAGAGTGGTTTTTTTTTTAGGCCAGGAGTTCTTTGTGCTGAGCAGTTGAAGGATGATCTGGAGTCGCACAATGAATGGCTGCAGCGGCCACGCAGCAAGCCAGTGGGAGTGAGCTTTGTGGATGGAGACAGGCTAAGGGAGCAGGGCTGTCTGTGTAGCAGCAGCTCCCTGGCAGAGGGCCCTGCAGTGGCCACTAGGTGCAGGGACAAAGGGCTCTGAGGAAGTGAGATTGGCTTTAGGAATGACTACAAGGAGAGGCGGATCAAGAGCTGGTGTTGTATCAGCAACTACTTTTGTTATGTTTTCTTCCTGTTAGAGGGGTCTGGTAGCCAGCTGTGTGACTTTAGAACTGGTCCTTACAGCAGGTCAAGGTCAAGCTGACAAGACCATGTGTTCTTTGGCTGGTCTTTGCTGACCCCCTTTCCCTGCAGAAAGAAGCTCAGGGAAACGTAAAAGAAAGGACGTTGCTGCGGCACGGCCCTGGGAGCTTCCTTCCTTAGCCTGCCCAGCCAACCCACCGTTTCCAGATGCTTAAGACGTGGTTGTGGCCTGAAGTTCCTGTCTAAAATTTGGTCTAACACAGGAAGACTAGTTATAGTCACCTGGTTTTTATTCTCATGCAAGTTTATCTGAATGATCAAAAGAGATATTCTGAGAACTGGGCATATAAATAAGTTGACATATTCTGAGAACTGGGCATATAAATAAGTTGACTGTAGTGATTATCAATTGTAATAAACAATACTCAGGTGATGAGTCAACATTCAAATGTAGATTTAAAGAACCTACATTTTTGTGCTATTGTGATTTAAGAAACTGGAAAAATTGTGCCAATTGCTTTGAGTTGCTATAATGATGCTGTTCATTCGGTAAATGCTTTTTTTTTTAAATAATGGACTTCAGCATACTACAACATTTTGTACATGATTTTTAAAAAAAAAATGCATTCCTAGAGGCTGCTGGTCAGATTCCTTTAGTGATGAAAGCTGAAAAAATTTTTAAAACTCTGTGTGTATGTTTCCTCTGCTGTTTGTCTGATGTGGGGAAAACAAATTCCCCTTTCATTTCCATAAGTAAAAAGACTAAGTGGGGGAAGGGGTGTGTTTTGGGAGTGTTGCTGTACACCTAGAGGCGTCACCTGACCGGAGACCAGAGACTTCGCTATCAAAGCCTCTGACACTGTACTTTGTCCTTATTGGATCTTGCTTTGTTGGTTTTGCTTTTGTCCTCAGTTTCTTGGGAAATAGCTTGAAAGCACTGGTCGCCAGAAGTATTTGGAGCTCTTCTGCAGTGTAATGAACTGCGTTCCTGTGGGCGGTGAGAGGGTAGCGTCCCTGGGACTTGGGGTCTGGTGCTCGTCAGGAATGGCCAGCCGGGGTCTCCCACACCGAATTGTTTATTTCTGGCTCTTCAGAGGTCCCTTCATTATGGAAAACCTCTGTGTCATGCTCATTCCACCCACCCCAGCTGTCACCCTCTGCCTCTTAAAATTATGTGCTTAATCTTGGCCAGAAGTTTACTACCATTTGGTGCTTCATTTATCTGCAAAAAAGGGAATTGCAGAGCCTGTATTTAAGATGCCTGGGTTTTTTCCTCCGTTGACTGCCTTTCTAAATAGCCTCTCATTTTGGTGTGCATTTGTGTTCTACCCTCCTTTGAAAGGAAAGGGGTTATCTGACAACTAAGAGGGGTGCGACCCTGGGCCGAGACCCTGTGTGCCCAGAGAGAACACTGGGCCTTCTTTAACCAGGGAAAGTACAGTAGCTACTTGGTTCACGGAATTCTCCGTAGGACACTCTTCTTACTTTGCAGGTAGCACTTAACTCCCTCAGGCTTTGTTCTTAAGGCCACAGTGTTCCCTGCCATCTTTAATATAATTGTAAAGACTCAAACATTTTAATATAGTGTTGCATTTCAGGCAGAGATGGACTCAATAATGTTAGACCTACTTCACAGGGCTAGAAAGCTATTTATTACACAGATCTTCCAAACTAAGGCTAAACATTCTCAAGATCTTTCTCACTTTCTTAGGAAATCATTTGCAGAGGTATTCATTGGAGATATGTGATTTTTACCAAAGGGGTTTTTTTTTTGTTTGTTTTTTTAAAAATAAAATCCTTTCAGCAAAAACTTAATTGGGGAAGGGTAAATTAAGAATGCATATGTCTAAATTCACTTCTGTAGGAGTTTAATCATATTTATGTGAGTAAAATGATGAAAGAATTCTTAAAGGTAATCCGTTGGCATGAAGGATCCTGGAAAATTCTCTCAGATAAAGAAAGCTGGTAGCAGATGTGTAATATATGTCTTGAGAGCTATTTATAAGAAATTTAAGAGGATTGTTTTGTTTTCCTTAATTAAAGATTTAAGGGTTTTTTTACTTTACAAAAAAGTCTACAAAAATTTTATAGCCATAACTTTGTTAATTTTTTAAACTTTCCTGAAACAACTGTAGCCAAATTTTGTGGTTATGTTTTGCAATATTAGAATTTTGAAAATGTAATATGTGTGGTAAAAATCTACTGTTTGAAGTTTTTAATAGTCTCAGATATGGTTAGAGTTTTGGTAACTTTTTAAGTAGCTTTTTTCCCCCCTGTAGTCACAGAAGCAACTGTGGATTTATATTTGTTTTTTGAATGCTAATTAATCTATGAAGTGTCCGAGTTGACCAGTCTTTTCCTATGTAGAACGCTAAAAACTTGTTAACTCTGTACTGTAATAAAATTTTAAAATGAAAACCGCGTTGTTTTTCTTCTTCTTTCTGTCGGATGCATTTGTAATTAAAGTCCTCCAGGTAGTGTTTTCCAACATGTTGCCTTCAAATGTTAATCCACTCTCTCTTAAGCTTCTTAGAGTTTTCTTGTGATTCCCGAGAACAAAAATACAAACATGAAAACCCAAGCTTCTCTCTGGCTGAAAGTCCCTGTGTCCTCCTTCCTTTTTAATATTCTTATGCTAATGACAAGCTGTCTTAAATATGAGAATTAGAGTAAGTCCTTTTTTATATTTAAAGAGTTTTTTGAAGATTTTTATTTATTTATAGAGAGGAGGGAAGGGAGGAAGAAAGGGAGAAAAACATCGATGTGGGAGAGACTCGTGTACCTGTTGCTCTCAACGCCACTAGTTGGGGACCTGACCCGCAACCGAGGCACGTGCCCCTCCTGGGAATCGGAGTGGCAACACTTTGACACACAGGTGGTATTCAATCCACTGAGCAACAAACACCAGCCAAGGTTAGAGTAAGTCTTTAAAGAAGACTATGCAGCCCTGGCTCTTGTTGCTGAGTGGACTGAGCACTGGCCTGCCAATCAAAGGGTTGCAGGTTTGATTCCCATGCCTGGGTGGTGGGCCAGGCCCTGTGGTGGGGAGCACAGGAGAGGCAACCAGATGTTGATGCTTCTCTCCCTCTCTCCCTCCTTTCTCCTCTGTTTAAAAATAGGTTTTTTTTTTTTTCAAGAAGGTAATCTGAGCTTTCCAATGTGGCTCTTTTTCAATCAGTATTTGGGTATTCTAGGTCTTCTGCATTTCCCTTTCAAGTTTAGAATTAATTTGTCAATTCCCTTGATTGCAATAGCATTGAGTCCTTAGATCGGTTTGTAAAGATCAGTTTGTAAATTGACATCATAACAACAGTAGGTCTATCTTTCATGTATATAGATCTTTGAAATTTTCCTTAGTAGTAGTGAATAATTTTCCTATATTTATTAAAATACCTTTTCAGAATTTAATCTTGGTACTTCTAATAATCACTTTTATGAGATTAATTTCCTGAATGTTTTTGTGTATCTGATAGCCAGAATTTATCATCTTAACTGTTTTTAAGTTAGTCTGTATTATTAAGTATATTCACCTTGTGCAGCCAGTGTCCAGAACTGTTTCTGTCTTTGAGAACTGAGACTCTGTACCCGTTAATCAGCAGTCCCTCATTTTCCTCTCCCACCAGCTCCCAGAAATTACCATTGTGCTTTCTGTCTCTATGAATTTGTCATTTGCTCCATCCCCGCCCCCCGCCCCCCGCCCCCCAGTATTTCTTCCCAGGTAGATACTGTTGGGTTTTAATGTTTCCTTTCTCCCAGGTGTGCTGTAGGGGTCACCATTTTTTGTTGTAAATGTTGTCCATGGGTTTTCGGTTGTGCTATCTAGTTGCTTTCTTTTTACATGGGAATTCAGGACGATCCAAACCATGTTCTACTATTGCCATCGTTTTTCCATTCACTCTTGAATTAAGCTGCAATAAGGCTTTTTATACATCCCTTTTGTCGAACTGCTTTTCAGGGTCAGTGGTAATCTCCATATTGCGGAATCCATTGTCCTCATCTTATTTGACCTATTGGGAGCACCTGACACTGTTAACTAAATTATAAATAAATCTTAATCATCTTTAACTGATTTCTACATACAGTCATCCCCACATTTTGAAAGTAGTTATTGTAGTTATTCTGTTTCTGTTCACATCACACTTAAGATCATGAGAGACAGGTCACTTGTCTTTTTAGTCCGTTTCAAGTCTGCACCCACAGAACCACACCCAAGGCACCGTCCCTGGAAACGTCAGCCATCCGGGACTGGACCTGACTTGGTTCTTAGCTCCACCTTCTAGGTCATCCTAACTTATTCCATATTAAAAGACCTGATTTGCAGCTGAATAGTTTGTTCAGCCTGCTTCTCAGCCATAAATGGTTGGCAGCCCAGTGACTTCATTTTGAACTGTCCATTTTAGTGAGAGCTGATTGTGTTTTTGTTAGTTCAGTTCTAAAAACATTGTGTTTTCTGTGAATCTTTGCTGTGTTAGATAATAACCATTCCACCAGTCTTTTTCAGATACTGCCCCCTTACTTTGGACTGCAGATCGGAATGTGATAGTACCCTGGTTTTTGCCCAAGCTCCTTTGTCCAGCTGAGATGATTAGGAGGCACACTTTTGGAAACTTTTAAGAAGATTCTTAGAAACATTTTTTTCTAACTAAGAGTATTTGAACAGCATTTCCTTAAAATTTTCTGAGATCTTAAGGGGCTTTATCTTGACCCCCAAGGTCACATTTTTTAAAAAATTTAATCCAATATACCCAAATTATTTTAACCTCTAAAGTCACATTTTACTTGTGGCATCTTAGCAATGATAAGTAGTTAATAAAAGTGTTGAAAAATACTTCATTGAATATTTCAGATGTATTGTTAAATAGCTTAGAAAACTATGGTGTGATCCAAATCCTGCGTATATGAACTGTTATTCAGACAGCTTATATAATGGTAAGACTTTATTCAAGACTTTTGTAATGGGGCAGAGAGATCAGGTTCAACTTGGAATACAAGGGCAAGTGGGGGTTTATAGCTAATGAGCAGAGAGAGAGGGTCCAATGGGTGGAAAATTAACAGAGGAGACACCAGGGTAAGGGGAGTCTTGCTAAAGGTAGGCCAAGAATTTTTACTGCAAAGGTGAGGGATGAAGAACTTGACCAGACTTCAAGGGTGGAAGGTGTGGGGAAAGTCTCGCTAAGACTGGGCTATGGAGGTGCATGGTAAGTGAAAAGAAAAAGCTAGCACCATTTGCCAAGCAGGCCTATGAGCTTGTTGAACATGACTGCCATCTTACTCTTCTGAGCTTTTGTCCCCAGGACTGGAAATGACTGGAAAGCAAGAACAGAACTAACCTCCTCCTACGGCCACAGGCAGAAGTTGGAACAAACTGCAGCCTTGTGTTACAACGCTCCCAGCAGCCCAGACTCCGCACAACAGCAGCCGCCCCACCCTTTTCTAATCCAACTATAATCCAATAAAAGCGCAAAGGCCCTACCCCTCAGGGCTGGTTTATCTTGCCACACCATGCCCCTCACCTTTCTTGGAGAGTGAATAAAAACTTGACACTTTCTTCTCTGCGAATTCTTTCACAGCCCTCATCACTGGCCACCCTAACAGTAAAGACAGGATAGGCATGGAAAGGCCAAGGTCAAGGCCTGGTTGAGTACCCCGAGGAGCCAGACTAAAGCTTGGTCAAGGTGAGGGTCCTGGTCAGAAAACACGCACACTTGCCCACTTGGAGAAGAGGTACCCAAGTGTTCACCTACGTTTGGTCTGGAGAGCAGCATGGACGCCGTGCCTTCCCCTCCATCTTTTGGGAATTGCTATGGTTAGAGCAGGAGCAGCTATGTTCTTTCCCCAAAATCATCATAGCTACAGTAATTGAGCCAGGAGTGGACTTTTCCATCTAAGTGGGGCATTCAACCTCTGGAGCTTTAGACTTGGGTCTGAAAGTACAGCTTTAGACTGGCTGTTGTCTTGAACCAAGGAGTTGGGAAACTTAAAAGATGTTAGTGACTATTTTAGGTATGGAAGCGGGAAATGCCAATTTGCAGGAAGATACAGGATTAAAGCTGTTGTGTAGAGCAGCTGTGAAAGAGAGAAGGTGGGCAGAGAGAGAGAATGAATTTCTGAAGGTGTTCCAGTCCCCAGTCATACTCCATTTCCCAGGCCCGAGCTTAAGCAATGGTAATTAACGTTTATTGAGCACTTGATGTGTATCTGGCATAATTCTCACAATGATCCTGTAGATAAGGGTCCCCAACCTCTGGGCTGTGGACCATACTGGTCCAGACTGGTTGGGGACTGGGCCGCACAGCAGGAAGTGAACTTGAATGTAATGTGCTTGAATCATCCTGAAAGCGCCCCCCGAATCCTGGTGCATGGAAAAATTGTCTTCCACAAAACCAGCCCCTGGTGCCAAAAACATTGGGACCTCTGCTATAGACGTTATTGCTCTTTCTAATTCTCATTTTTACATGAGAGAGAAAAGTAAACTTCTTAAAATACTTAAATGCAATTGTTTTCACAGAGGTTGCCAAATCCCACCACACTCTCTAGCCCTTTCCCCTCTCCTTTCTTTACCACCCCCTACTCCCTACCCGCCAGCCACCCATGCCCTTTAGGTCAATAATTCCTTATGTAGAGCTTTCTATTGGCTTTTCTATTTGGATAATGATTTATGTTGGTAAGGAATTGCATTTGAGTAACAGAGACTGGACCTCAGTAACTTAAACACCTGGGATTTTGTTCACGTCTCAAGGATGTGAACCGAAGTTTACTGTGAATTATTGGCTTTTCTTCTGTGGCCTCCAGGAGCTGCTCTTGCAGACCCATCTGATTCACATTCCAGGCAGAAAACCGAGGAGGGGCCGAGTGCTCCCTGGAGAGAAGCATGTTGCCTATTTTGAGGCAGGAAGTGTGAGGGTCTGGAATATCTTGTTATTGCCAGAAAATAAGAATACTTTCAAAGACCCTTTGATGACAAGCTATGTCTAGTAATGAATTTTCATTTAGAAATAAGGTTTGTAATCGTTACAGTATTACTTGTGTGTGGCTCTGCCTTTTAAGGTGAGTGAAGAGACTGATTAATATAATAAAAATTCAGAAGATAAGGTAATTAAATTTGAAATCAATGTTTAAATGTTTGAAGTTATAATGTATTAAATTTATAAGCTTAAACTTTAGATTTAGTGTGTTTTAACTGTTTAGAAAGACTTTGTCTACAGAAATGTGGGTCCTTTGTTAGGTGTTTGAAGGGTTTGAGAAAATAAAATGTATTAAAATTAGATTGCATTTTAAAATTTCCAAAATGTGTTATTTTAAAAAATATTTTATTGTTTATGCTATTACAGTTGTCTCAACTTTCCCCCTTTGCCCACCTTCACTC